GCAAACACGGGTAGTAATAAAGGAAATTCCTTATCAACAAACCCTGCCACCAAGAAAAAAATGTCATGTTTTACATCTGTTTCACTCAGTTGAAGAGATCATACCTTGCAATCTGATATATTATGTCTTTTTAGAAAACATTTTTGAAGAAGGTTATGGGTAGATTAAGAAAAAAATAGAAAATATACATCAAAGAGTAATCTTAAAGTTTATATCTGCAGTAGTAGGTAAATGGAATATGTTCCAAATGGAATATGCAAATAGAGTTTTAAGCTTCCAGCATGACTCCTTCCAGGACTAATTTGAATTCAACGCTTTAGAGTCAGAATATGTGAAGCAGAGTAAAATGTCAAATTTTAGGGCTGAGTACTTTGCCTGAATTCTAACAAAGCAAGTCAGAATATTAAACTTCAAGTTTTTGTGCCGCAACACTATTATGTGCATTCATAAAATCACATCCTGTCCAGGTGCTTGCTCAATTTGGACCTGGAGTGTACTTTTAAAGTGGATATCCCAGTCATTCCCAAGTACTGTACTGTAGTGTCATGAAACAATATCAGAAATTGCTAACTGGATTGTTTTTTACCTAATTGTAAATTGAAGATGAGTACAATAGATGCAGTCCAACTATTAAGGCGTGTTCAATCTACAGAAGCTGATTATCAACAAGTCTGAGTAAACACACCTGAAACACACGGAGTTTGGATGTTGCATTCTTGGTGCCAACAGGTTTGCTCTACAAGTCTTCTCCTGTGGGGCTGCACTACTTGCTTCTGCAGATATAACTTCAGTTTTCTGAGTTAGAACTTTGTCTTTTTGCAGCCAGCCTGCAGGCTGTGGGATTGAAGGATAAAAGTGGGCATACTCCCTTATAGTCCATGGCAGGTCAAAAGTGAGCCTCAAAGAAAATTAGAAAATAACAAGGATCCCAGGTACATTATAGAATGAGATAGGAAAATCCCAGACAGAATATATGTGCTTTTTTTTCTTTACACAATACTTATTTTGTGATTGGTCTGTCTTGAACAACCTCAAAAAATTTTACAGATTATAAAGTTTGAGGTAATGGCCCGTATGTGCACATGTTCATATATTGCATGGCTTTAATACCTGTACTTTGAGTGTTACTAGGAAAGGAATGAGAATCCTTGAATCTTGAATTCTTTAATTTAAAAAATAGGTGAATGCTATTTTTAGCACTTGTATATGAACTTTTAAAATAATATGTAACCATATAGTCCCATGGATTTTACATCTGCCAGTTACCTTTTAATAAATACAAGATTTACATGTAAAGTATAAAATGGAGAAAAAGGCTACAGTGTGTATCTAAATCCTCCAAATAACTCACTCAGACCAACATACAAGGTTTGGTTCTTAGCTGAATTAGTGATACTGTTTATGTCTTTATATTATCTTTTTTCTTCTTTTGTGGCTTTTCCTTCTGTGTTCAATTACAACGTCATCTTTGAAGACATTATTGCTGGAATTAATTACTTTGCCATATACCAGAGCAGTGGCATCCTGAATTTGTTACATCAAAGGATATTGGCTGAGAAGACAAATAATTAAATGACCCATAACACAGGTAAATGATGCTCCTGGGATCAAAGGGATCCCCTAGGAATACTGTGTGCTGCTCAGTTCAGCCAGTCATGGAAAATGTTGTTGCAAGGGCTGTAGAGAGGTAGCTTTTGTCAGCCCTTCAAAGTAAGGGGTTTCCAAACACGATCTTCCTGTTTGTTTTCCTTGTTTGCCAATTGTTCAGAAAATACAAAGATGAATGTAAGGGCAAATACCAATTCATATGACATGGGTACTTTAGTACTTGGCAGCCAAGCTTCTGAGCCACTTCCAGTGAAAGGGAAGACAGTCAACAGTAGTCTGTCATGGAAATGAGTGGAGATGGCTGACAAAGAATTTGCTGTTGCAAAAGGTATTACCTTCAAATCTTAAATTAAACCAAGCCCATTCTTTTTAGTCCTATAAGTTCTATACTTCTGCAATGATAATCTGGAATGATCAATTCTTTATACAATTTCATGTAAAATAGATGTTCACACAACTTTTTCTTTTTCTTTCTTAGTGTTTTATTACTACCTCATTACCTCATTTTTATTACCTCTAAGCTCATGGCTTAGATCCACACTTTTGGTGAGGTACTTTCCATTGCTTTCTAAAACTAACTTACTAAACTAATGCTACTCTTCTGTTTCTCACTGTTAATAACCTACGAGAACTTAATAAGGGGGACAACAGTCAGAAGGAACTAGACTTCTCTGTCAGTGCAGAAATAGTACACTTTATGAGTACAACTGAGAAGCAGTAACCACTAAATCTTAGAACAAGAATATAATTACTTCACCTCTATGGTGTCTCTTGAAAAGGATTGCTTGCCCTATGGGGAAGTCACTCTAATGGGAATTTTTAATAAAATATTAATTTACTTCAGCCCTGAGAATGTGGCCATTAAGCTGAACAAGTCACTTCCAAAATTATGGGTCCTCTTCCTTAACTTGTGCCATGAGCAGGAATGGGCTGGTAAGTCTAAGTTGTTCCCTAACTGGATTCAACTGTAACAATTTTCTGACTTCCACAAAATCAGATTCTCATTATAAGAAAGACTTACCTTAAGCCAGGATCTTTCCTTGGGTCCACTACAGCTGGAAAACTTTGCTATGCGTCACAGAATAATGGTTTTAACATGGCAGGAGAAGGAAAAAGAAGGAGGAAGGAAGAGCAGAAATTGCATCCAGGGAAGTTTACAGTTTCAGTGTGGTAGGTGACGTATTTTCATTTTGTTTTTACAGAACAAAGTGAAGCATATTTAGAACAATACCTTCAAATTGTGTATAGTGACAGAAGACAGCACAGAATTTTAATCTGGCAAAGTACAACTGCATTTTCCTAGTAAAACATCTGCCTCTTTACTGTGTATGCATAGCTGCTTCCTGTTTCTTAATGTTAGACAAGTAATTAGGTGAGGATTCTATGACACATTCAATGTTGCAATGTTTATACCTACAAATCATTAAAATTAGGTTTGTTGTGAGTGGGCAATAATGTAAGAAGTGATTTTATCTCCATATTTGGGATTTGCCAATATGTCTGTGAAAGACTCATCTTTGCCTGTATAAGAAGGCTGAGTTGATATACTATGAAAAGATTTTTAAGTAATACTGCTCCTGTGTGGACAATCTTATTTCAAAGTAATTTCTGCACAGTTCATCTTAAATAGGTTTGCAATTAGAGTCTTAACTCATCTGATCAGATCGTGAGGATCTCCTCACGTGGAGAGAAATTTCTTTGTAGTATTTAATCCTAGTTTTTGTCTTAAGAGAGTCTCTGAAAATCATCTCCACCTAATGGCACCTTCTGTTTGCTATAGCAGTTTAGTAATAAGAAGAGCAGAGTATTTTTTCACACTTATAACTCTTTTCATTGTATCCATGTCCCATTATACTGCCCCCTTTCAAAGTGGGATTTTACATCTTCTTAAAGTCATGACTCACTTAGCATGTAAAATAGGAACACAGGCCACTGAAAACATGGATAGAGATTTAACAAAAAAAATTTAATACTATAATTTAATTAGCATACATGACATGTTCTAATACATTTACTGTACTGGACAGTTGGTCCTGTACATGTTTTATTAGTTAAAAGAAAGTTCTCTTTAGTTTTGCCAGAATGTATGCAAAAACTTAGACTGTCATTCCCAAGAAGGACTGGACATTCATGCTTCCAAGCCATGATTCTGAGTTAAGTGCCCTCTTATCTTTGTGTCAACACTGAAGTTTTTTCCTGATGTATCTCCCTACAAGCATGAGTTGTTTTGAATGAGAACATTGGATGAGAAACAATGGTTTCTTTTTAATCAAAATAACAAAATTGTAGATTAAATGTCATCAAAACAGTAATTAAAAGAAATAATTAAACCCCAAAGAAACTAGGTTTACAAAGAAATACACTTTATTGTTGCTCTTAAATAAAAAAAAATAGAATATGTTTGTTAGGTTCATTCATTCTAAAATGACTTGTAATCAGCTCATGACAAGTGCTTATTAGAGCACTTTCTCTTAGAAAGTTTTGTTTACATAGAGATCTTCCTTTAAATATGTTTATATGACACCTTAATGAAGATAAAAACAATCATTTCTTCTGTTACATTTTATGTCCATACTTACTGAAGTCATTTTGGGTTGAGGAAATTATTAAAAGAAAGGGCCTGTAGAACAATTCGCCTGGTCTGTGGGTGGTTTATTCACTATGTTGTTTATGTTCTCTAAATACATATTTGCAAAAATAATTTGGTGTTTACACAAGGCAGACGCTATTTGCAGCAAACACTATTTAATTATTTTAAAATTTTACTACTTTTTAAACTTCATATTTTATTCTTTCACAGTTAACCATTTTTTCAATACCAGTAACATTTAATGAGCTCTAGGAAAGCTAAATCAAAAACCAACCAAACAAAATAACAAAGACAAACTTGAACTTGTCTTAACAATCATGTGTATGCTAGTAGAGACAGTTTCAGGGGTTTTTGTTACCAAGACACTTAACATAGTGCGAAACACTTATTTTTTATTTTATAATTGTGAAAACTTGGCTAGAATAAAGAGGTTTATTATTTCAACTGCTATTTAGGCTATGGAAAAAGAATTAAAATACAAAGCTCTATGAGCTACTTCCCTTGAAAGGCAATGACTCCCAGTGAGGTCCTGCACATGCCACAGGCATTTCCATGTGCAAGAGTGAAGTGTAGTCTTGTTTCTGAATGGTGGTTTTCTTCCAGTTCAGAGTTAAAGAGGCACCAGCTGCTGAGATGTCTTTGCTTAATATAAAACCAGGAATAATGTATTTTACTATGGGAGGCTTTAAAAAGGGCTATGCTGGACAAGGATTGTCTACTATTACCAAAAAGCAAATGTAACTTGAATATCAGTTTTGATAGTGAATTGATTTGTTTTGGGAAAATCATTTTTGTGCTAGCACTGTATACACATCACACCTTGGCTGATGAATAGTATCTTAACAAAATACATGTATTCTTCCAGCAAATGGCTCTAGCATTTACTTGGTCAGGGATTAATATGCAGATTGATTATTTTTTAAATTAGTGGTTAATATCAGAAGGCATTCTCTTTCCTGAAGAACACTGAGACTATGAAAGTAGTGCTTCATAATTAGGCTGCTCAGCTATTGCCATCTGAATTTTTGTGATACAACAGGGTCAATGTGATACAACAGGATATTTTTATTCAGGTCACTGTGGTGAGGAAAAAAATTACTTCTATCCTATGCATATTATACCTTGTAGCCCAGCCCAGAGTTCTTCCAGTCATATCCTAGTATGCAAGAGGGAGTTTTCTACAATTAGTCTGTGAGCTACTTTGTCCTTCCCTTTGCTTCTTTTTGCTTGTGGAGAGAAGCAGCAGTATGGGTGTAGCACTGGTTGAGACCTAGGGGAATGAATAGGATACAAAAACTGCAGAAGTGCTTTGTCCATAAGGCAAGAAGGATCAGTTCCAACCTCAGCCTTAGAAGTTCAGCTGATCTTCTGGACTTCAGGGAGGAAGAGGTATTGCTTCATTAGTTGTATCTGCTCTGTGGAGAAGCTGAAGACTTCCATACAAAGGCTGAGTGAGGCACTCTGCAAAAGCAGTAAATCAACCTGATTTTTGTAAAGCACACTATTTCTAAATGTTTGAAATCAAAGGCAATGCTTGGATATAGATGCCATGGGACTGGAGAAATAAAAAAAAACACATTTGCCTGGTATTTTTCAGTCAGCCTCAACAGCATATTAATGCTAATGCAAACTAACTAACTATTATAATAATATTGTTTTATTGTAAAAAAAAAATCTTCCAATTCTGATATTCTGTTGACTGAGCAGGTAAAAAGTAAATACATTGCTGTTAAATATTTATGAAAAGTGGTGAAGAAACAAAAAATAACTTCTGAATGTAAAGTTTCTTCTTACAGAATTTAGAGCAGATGTGCTCTGTAAAATAAGCCCTGGTACTTTTATGAAGGCCATGAAGTGGGGCTATAAAAAGGTGCTGAAGCAGCTTCATGGGTCGTGGTTCATTAACTCTAATTGTCACGTCTGGATTCCGTCTGATGGATGACCAGGTCCTTCCTTTCTCACATCTGTTTTCTCACTGTCTTCAGGTGACCAGCTTCCAGGGATACCTCTTTCAGAAGTGTTTCCAACAGTGGACTTGGGTAATATTCTAAACCACTTCAGTCACATTTGAATGCTTCTTTTTCTTGTTGGATGTGCTCCTTTTCTTGTATTCTTCCTGTGTGTAGCTTTTCTCTGGAGAGAATAAAGCCATCATTAATGAAAAGCATTTTATATTTTGTGGGATTATGCTACAGAAAGGTTTTCCTAATTGACAAGACTTATTTTTGAAGATCACAAAATTTTCACACACATTAAAAATGGAAATTGTAAAAAGCCTTATCAAGCACCATGTGCCTTCTGATTTCAGGCTTGCTATAAGGGAGTGAAGAAGCAATGTTTTACAAACTGCCCTTGTAAGACAACCACATAATTTATAGTATGGGGCCATCTGTGTGTTTCCCAAGTTCTTGTTTTTTTATTAGAATTAGCTCTGAGCCAAAAGCAGAACATTAACTCTAAGGGAGAGGGAAAGATGTGAAATAAGGAAAGAATGTTCCTCCCTTTATTTCAGGCTATTTGTGAACTGAAAGTTGTGTCATGATTGTTTGGAAGAGGAAGGAAAATCAGTTAACTGAGTTAATGAAATTAACTGAAGTAATTAATGATTTCAGACCAATGTCAAATAGCATTTCTCTTTTCAGCAGTGAATATATTTCATATATACATAGAACTATTGTATATAGAATTATGTACATAGAACTGTTTTCCCCACTAAAAATTGTAAAAAAAATTTCACAACTTGGAATTTTTTTGGCAAATCTAGTTCCAAAGCATAACCAAAACCTCATGCCATGGTAACTGAAAGAATAATCTTTCATTATTATGGGAGATTACAATTTGATTGGTTTTCAGTGTGTTTTAAGAACTTTTCTTTAAAATCAGTAAATAAATAATGATGTGGTTTTAAGGAATAATTTCATTAGCATAATTTGTAGAAGGGAATTTTCTGAAATCAAGAAAAATAAGATCTGTAAATCTGAACACATTTTCTGAGTTTACAAAATCGAAGTTTAACATTCCATTAAAGTTGTACTTTCTTGGCTGTTAATATTGTCATAAATACTCAAACCATCTTTAGTTTTATATCCCTGATATACGGTGCCAGAAAAAGAAAATGAATAAACTCTAAGCATGAGAAACAATTGCAACACTTCATATATGAACTTTTAAATGTATCAGATTGTTTATACATGTAGCTAAAGTATTGAAAAGAATTCTTACAAATCCACTTTACAATTAATAGCACACCAATAACTTTCTAGAATTTACCAATATTAATATTTGTAAGTGTATTGATTTTTTCTTTTTTTTTTAATGTATATTCAATTTTTGTTAATGATATTTTCCCTCAAAATGCCACCATCCTAGGGTATGTCTAACAGAATTGTCTCATACTGATTTCTCAAAATCCTTTCAGTATTTATATTTCTTTTAAAGTATTTCCTGTATTTTAAAATATGAAGAAACATCACAGATAAACTGACAATCCAACTTCTCACTTCTGTTAACTTGTTAAAAGTTCACTTTAGTTATCAAGAAATGCACTTGCTGTCTATGTAATTTATCAGTGTTACCACAGTCTTATTCACTTTTTAGGGGTGTATTACCTGAGCAGAATTTTAATGTTTTTAGCTACAATCCTAAAACAATACAATGTACATAACAAAATAAAACCGGCCTCGCTAATGTTTCAGTGTGTCTTGTGGCTTTTATTAAAAGAATCTTCCTATTTTCTAAAACAGTCTGGTTAAATTCTACAGCATAAAGTCACTACTTCGTTCTGACCCCTATATATTTATTTAGTTATTTACAGCCTCCACTTTTTCATTATTTATTACAAGTTGGGATCAAACTAATCCTGGTTCAGCTACAGCATGCTAAGCTCATTAATTTTTAAGTCTGCAGTTTTCTCCGAAGTGTCCATGTGCCAGAGGGCATTAAACAGAGATGAAAGCTGGTGGCTTATTCAACAGCATCTCTGGTCTTTAGTTTCACAAACTTTTGTATTTTTATTGCCTGAAAATTGATTTTTTTTCTCCTGCATTTCGTCTATAGGTTAGGTGCTCACTGACTGTTTTCACACTGCAATATTTAAACTTCAGCCTGTTGTGGGCTTTTGAATTTTCTTTAATAACAGAAGGAAATGAGAGGTGCTTAAATGTACACATATACCATTTTTATGCAGAGGTCTCATTTCTTCAATCTCCAGTGTTAACTTACTTCTTGGGTTTCCACATTTCCTTTGGGAAGGTCTACTACTTTGCTTCACTTTACTGTTTCATATGCATCCCAGTCTATGTTTTCAGATGTTTGACCTTTATTAGCTGTATAAAAAAGAATATAGTTTCTGCTTTGATAGCATTCAAATCCTGAAATTTGTCATTAGGGAGTTACTCCATTTCCAGCTCTTTTCTTTTGGACCACCTCTAGTGGTTTTAAAATTGCAGTCTTTGCATAAGTTTAACATACTTTCACTCTGATATGTGATCTATACAATCTGCCATCAAAGAAAACAAAGCCAATACATATATTTGACCTGTTGCATAAATTTCCAGCAAGGAACAATTTTGTATTTCCTGAGAAGACTGCTGGTGTCTTTAGATATTGTGAAGTTTAGTTTGAATTTCTTTTCTTTTTTTTTGTTATTGTCTCCATCTACTCCTCTGTACTTTCTCCATAACTGATAGGTCCTGAAGTCCAGGCATCTGTGTTCCTGCCTTTAAAATACATACTTTTGTTTTCACAGCCTTCCAAAGAACAGTTATTCAATACTTTAAATATTTGTCTTACCTGTTCTTTAATTATGTTCTCCTATATTTGAACTGTTACTAGATGGAGATCTTTGCTCTGGCCTTCGTAACTGGCTCTTTAGAATTGGCTCAGGCTCTTTAGAATTGTTCTCTCTGTATGGGCTCAAGAGTCTCATTGGTCTCATTTAGGCTACGGCTTGAGCCAAGCACAGCAAAACAAGCTCCAGATGAGCCATCCTAACTGTCCATGTAGAAGAGGAGTGCTTGGAATAACCTAATCACTACTAATTTCTAATGCCTTTGTTATTAAGTGTCTCACAATGTTTCCATTTCTAATATATATTTTTTATAAGAAGAGGTCACTGAAAAACAGCTATGCTTTCAGCTTAAATTTGATTTTGCCTTCTTACTTTTAATTCTGCCTCACTGTGGGCTAGTATTTTCTCTTTCTCCTTCACCTCTCGATCCTTGGGGTAGCTTCCACTGAAATCACAATAGCACTCTCTTAGTGTTATTGTTGATTTGGGTTTTTTTAGAACTCTGTCAGCTTCCCTCAGGTTGAAAAGTTTTCTTGAGGTTCTGGAAGTCAGGAGCATCCTTTTACATGGAGCAGAGAGTACAGAAATATTTAACTTAGAGGTTAGTAGATTCCTCCCTGCTTTTCAGTGAAAGTTGCATGAAATTCAACCATAATGAGGAAATATATTGCTTTATATTTAAAAATATTTTTATATTTTGAAAAACATGTTTTATAAGTAATTTTTTCTACCTAACCTTAGGTATCAGTCTTAGTAATGAAATAATCTAGAGAGGGTGAGATTTTACTTTTAAGCAATGCAACAAAGCTTATCTTTGTTAAACCCAGTCTGAGGACAGAATCATCGCTTTTTTGCAAAAATCTCCCCCCTCTCCCTTTCTTCCCACTGCATCAGCCACAAACAAAATGTCTATCAAATTCAAGGCTGTATAGTGAAGAATACAAAAACCAAAGGAAAAAAAAATTATTTTGGGGATTGTTTGCAAGATTCCAGCCAGGTCAGGCAAAAGCCTGGCTAAGGTCACTTATCCATGTTTCTACAGTTGCTGCTCTGCTTCACAGGTGCAGTCAAGCAGCAGCCTGAGAGAGCTGTGTGGGGTCAGTGGAGACAGGGGCAGAGTCAGAGCTCAGAGAAATAGAGAACAGCACATGGGAGTCAAGCAGAAGCATGAACTAATTTCAAATTTCACTCACATTGCCAATGTTTCTAGCTACAAGATGAGTCTCAGTGCATGCTCACACATGTAGATTTGCCATATTTTAAGAATGTTCTAGGGCACAAAGCCAGGAGAAATCCCTGGGATTGGTGAGCCCTTTCTTTCTATATTTTAGATATGAATTCTCCCACAGACAGAGAACTTGTAAAACATAGTCCTCAAAAAGTATTTTCTAGACACCGCTCACATAGATGGGATGTAAGAGTATCATATTTTTAAGGGGAAAATAGAGAAGAGGAGCTGGTGGAGTAATCTTATTTATTGCTTTCTTTGAACCCGAACTGTTATTTTTTTAATCTGGGAAGGACGACTTAACCTCTCTAGCACTTGCTTTGTTATATATATATCAGCAACATTTACCTCCCAGGGAAAGAAAAACTGTTGTCTACTTCTGAGTTTACTAAGAATGTCATCCAATCCATGAGTGTTACCCAGCATTTCAAAAGCAATCCTATGACAGCAATAAGGACTGAATTTAGTCCTAAAATAATATATGCTAGTTCCCTGGGGATTCCTGGGAAAGTCTTACTGTTCAACTCCAACTCCCACATTATTAGTTTGAAAACACAGGCCTGTTTTTTTTCTTTCTTTTTTATCCTCCCCTGTAGGGCTTTTCAAAGGTGACTTATTTACCCTAAGTTTTGCCACTGAAGGGTGTTATTGAACTTTATATGTTGGGAGGCAAAGGAGTGACAGGAAGGCACTCTGGCAATGTTTTTGTATGTGGGAAGATTTGCTGTAGGCCTATGAGGTTTCTCAAAAAGTTTTCTCAAAAAAACAACAAAAACCAAGACAATAAAACTATCTTGCTCATAAGGACCTAGACTCCTTGAATTTGGTATTTGATGTTGATACTACTGTCTTTGAAAACCTCAGTTTCATTCTGATCAGCACATGGTATCTCATGGTCCACTCATCATGCCTTTTCTGAGTTGAAATAATGAATTCAATCTACACTTGATGGAGCAGTAGCAGATGATGTTTATGAATGAAAGCATCTCCCTGGTCCTTACACTGAGTGAAAGGGAGGCAGGGAGGAAAAACACTTGTTGCTATGGGGTTTTCTTCTTGCCAGCCAAATTATAGAATTTTCACTTTCATCCACCTCTTCTTTTTCTGTCCTCTATA